AGATGTGAGATCGTGGAGCCAAACATGGTGGTGGTACTACAAAAGATGTGGAATCGAACAATGAAGCGGTGGCTTGGGATCCAGTGGCGGCTGGGGCGGTGATGTATATGGATGCGTCATCTGGTGGCATTCGGCAGCGAGATCCGACAGCGGAATCCGGCGGCGGGATCCGGCGACTGGCGGCGGGGTCCGGCGACTAGCGGCGGTGACTGGTGCAGGTGCTGGCCCCTGGGTGGTGATCTGAGATAACTTGTGGCTGGTGAGGGCGTGAAGGGGAAAATACGTTGTTGTGTAATGAATTTAGTTTATTATTATTCAATTTTATGTTTTGCTAAATAAATTGGAGAATTCATTAAGGGTATTGTTTTCCTTTACTATTAAATTCCGTGTGACAAACAATACGTGAGATAGGAGTCCTACTTTTGCATACTTGATATGTTTTACTCCTAAATTGAGAATTTTCTCGATTGGCACCAGGTCGAGTCCTGTTGAACTGTTTTAGATCATGCAATTCATAATCTCATTTCATTATGAGATCGTGTACGTTATTCATAAAAGTATTTATAAAGTATGAAACCGCATCCGCGATGGCTCCTAACCTTGCCTGTGCAATTAACGGGGATGATGCAGATTTAGGCTCTGTTTGCAAACACAACTAGAAAAACACTTCTCAGCTTTTGGCTTAAAAAAGCTAAAAAAGATGTTTTCAAATGACAACTTCTACTTAAATGAATTACTTAAAAGCTAAAAGCTAGAATCTGCTTTTTACTTTTTCTATTACACAAAAAGCACTTATTTTACCAAACACCACCAACTTTTACTTTTCAAAATCACTTTTTTCTCAAACACTACCAACTTTTACTATTAATCACTTTTTTACCAAATCATTTAAAAAAGTTAAAAGCACTTCTCAATAGGGTTTGCAAACAGAGCCTTACATAGTAATATAACGGTTATAACTTGACCTATTCCTTGTGGTCTCTACTGGTTAAGCTATGTGACTATGTCTGCCAGTATAAAAATATTTAAATGGTTTATTAGTTGTACACCTCAAACGTTTCTCTTTTAACAAATTAAAGCAATTTTATTAAAATAATTTTTTAAATTACATTCTACAAATAGACATCATTCAACTTTCAAATTATAGGGAGGAAATTCCTTCTATTTGTAGTGGAAGGTTTTAGGAGTCCAAAAGGTTAAATGTGGAGCTTTTGGACTCCTATTTGCTTACAATGGAGTAGTAAAGTGGAGTTCTATTTTGTTCACCCCCTTCATGGAGGGTGAACATCACCCCTCACTTCAACACATGACACTTGGCAAGACTTTTAAATTTTGCAATTCTAATGCCAAATGTCATGTGTTGGAGGGAGGGGGTGATGTTCACCCTCCATGAAAGGGGTAAACAAAATAGAACTCAGTAAAGTGGGGTTTAAAATGGAAAGAGAAGTGGAAGAGTTCAAAAATAGAGAAAATTTAGACAGCCAAAAGCAAAAAAAAAAGGAAGAAAAGGGCTGCGTGTGGCTGTTGATACGCGAATGACGTCATGTTGACGTCATGTTGACGTCATTCCTGCGTAATAAAATCACTCTTTTAAGAAAGGCTGTAATTTGTTTTTGTGTTCCAATTTTTGTGAAAAATATATCAAAATTCATAAATTTTTACGATCTTTCATGACATCAATATTGTATAGATAAAATTTATTTAAAAAAATTAAGTTTCAACAGCCAAAGAGTTGTGTAGGATTAAAAAAACGAAACACAAATTTTTAATTCATGGTGTCTCCACAAATAGCTGAATATTATATAAACTCATTTTACTATTTTATTAAAAGTAAGAATAGTAATTAAAAAATTAACGATTTTTTTTTAATTTTTAACATCGAAACATGTATTTTTTAATTTCATAACACTTCATAAATAAAAACAAAGAAAAATATTACTTATAATAATTTAATTAATGTTTTACTAAATTGATATATAAAAAATATGCAGAGTGTATATATTTTATCGACGGTGCACAGATGCAGAAAAAAACATTATTGACGGAGTCAAAACACTGTTCCATATGAACGGAGTCCAAATTTAATAATTTGGACTCTTGACCACCACAAATGATCTTACAAAGCAAAAATTGTTGGAGATTTATTGAAAATAAAGCTCAATTTTTATTTATACATGGTCCTTAATCATTTTATAAACAAATAATGTGGTTTATTAAATGATGTTATTTTAATATAATGATTGTTATACTACATATTATGAGAACACTTTGTGCACGTGTGATCTCATAATGATTATAACGATAATTCTTTAATATGTTAAGCACTTTTACTTATTTTATTTATTAAAGTGGTACATGTTATTTTACATAACACAGGCTATGTGACACATGTATGTTTGGATAAGGACATATTATTAAATGTATTATTTTAAAATGATTATATAAGGATGTACGTATCCTTTAAGGAAATGCCGCATCGTTTCCTTTTAATAGGCTTAACTGCCATTTAACATTCGTTTGGAATGGTCATAGCCGATCTTTCTTCTAATTATCTTTTATCTATAAATATGTAAGGACCATGTTGATTTGGGTCACGGCAAATTCATTTTGTCAAATTCTCAAATTGCCATACTCCATTACTTTTATCTGCAATAAAGTGTTTAGACCACTTTATATACATATCACTTGTTTAGTGTTATTTTGTGAGTAGCCAAAATACACTGTACACCTTCTTTTTATCCCAAAAGTTCTATCTTGTAACCCGGTTACTGTGATAAGGGTAGATAGTAAACTTTTAGGAAAACGTATTTAATACGTGACTAGAAGTGATAACCGGTCAAGCCATATTTCTACACCCTTATATTTTACCATATTTATCCTCCTGTTCTAACAAAAATAACATATATTCTTAAAGGGTATTGCTTCACACACCTCCTCAATTACTATGCGCACCCCTTTTGGACAAAATTGTCCCTGATTTAGGGAGTGTTTGCAACAGCTTCTGCTTTAAAAAAGCACTTTTGGAGTGATTTGGAAAAAGTGATTATTTGTAAAAGTTGATAGTGTTTGAGAAAAAAGTGATTTTGAAAAGTAAAAGTTGGTAGTGTTTGGTAAAATAAGTGCTTTTGGTGTATAAAAAGTGGAAAAGCACTTTTGACACGAAAGCCGAGAAAAATAAAAAATTGGTAGTGTTTGGTAAATAAGTGCTTTTTTAAGCCAAAAGCTGAGAAGTGCTTTTTTTAAAGTGGTTGCAAACCAGCCTTTAGTTTTGTTATACGTCATAATCCATCTATACGACACATGTAGTTTGCAATATAGTGTTGCGTATGTATGATGATAAGCTAAGCTAAGTGAGTTCGCTGCCACATGTCAAATACTTTTCTATAAAGTGATAAATTTTTCATTGCATTCTTTTTACTTTTTATCAAAATATATCAAATTAAAATTTGACATGTGTCAAATAATTCATTTTTTTACTTATCCAATTTTGCTCCTATTTTTATAAAATTAAATTTAAATAGTTTTTTATGATCATTTGTCTGACACCAATATATGTAAAAATTAAAAAACAAAAACATTTTGTCAGGTCCGGTGAATGAACGATAAATGTATCTACGTAGTATTATTTAAATCTAGTCTAGTCAGGTCTGATCTGATTTGTTTGAATATGTCTGGATCAAAATCAGTTCAATTAAAAACATTTTCAATATCATTCACATCCTAAATCTCTAGTCATGTAACATATATGTCTGTAATGCCGAATCACCATTGTGTCGATGAAGTTTTAAAAGATAATTAATTTACTAGAATTAAAAATGTTACATATTCGAAAATATATTTCAATATAGAACTATAAATGAAGATAAATTTGGTCGATCTAGGATCGAAAACATCTCAATTAAAAACATTCTAGATATTGTCATCTCGTAGTTAGAGAAAATTATTCAATATAAAGATGAATGAAAATATATACTGTGTGTGTATGTATATGGAAGAGTTCAGATAAAAAGTGGTCTTCCCGTGCAAAGTACACAGTTTCACTTTTGCATATTTCGCTTGCACCTTTGCTTGTTGCCGCTGCACTTTTGCACAATTGTGAATTTTGTCAAAACCGGCCAAAATGACGACGGCAGTTTTGAAAATAACTCGGTTTTTTTCGCTATAGCAAAAAAGTGCAACAAGAACAAGAAAACGTGCAAGAAAAACATGCAAAAGTGAAAACTTTGTACTTTACATGGGAAGACTTTTTTTTTGTAAAAAAAGAAGAAGAAGAACTTGGATATAGAGAGTGGGGCAGATGAATAGCTCAAAAGTCTAGAAGTCAAGAGCACTATTTTTTTAGATAATTTTAAGATTCATTCTCCATTGTATAAGATTGTAAAAAAAATTATAAGAAAATAGATTTGACTTTACTGTGGAGTGCACTATTTTGCACTGTTTAAACATTGTTTGACACTGTTTGGACACTGTTTGGTACTGTTTTGCACTGTTCAGATTGTTTTGATATAGATAATTTTACAAATAAGGAATGTGAGAACTTAATTGAGGGACGGAGGAAGTAGTTGTTTAATGTGGGTAAAAAGTGTAATCCTGATTATATTAGCAATTTGAGTATGTATCAAAGATAGTTGCATTACTTATTAGGATTTTTAGGATTTTTTGAAAAGAATTTTAGGAAAATATATAATATTTTTATTTTATTTTAAAGAAGGAATACAAGGAGGGCTTTTAAAAAATCAATAAAAGGGACGATAAAAAAATCAATAAAAGGGAGATACACTTCTAATGTCCTGCTCCGTTTATGTTAGTGACAGAAAAGTGTATGGTGCGCATTTGTAGTGGCGTGATCACTAAGGACATTCTTGTCCACTTTTGAAACAAAATCGGTGCGCCGAGTAATATGAGTGGTGCGCGGAGAAGGCTCGTTATTAAATCAAGAGTCTAATTGATTTCTTCTTAAAGAATTCTCAATTAAGAGTGTCATTATTTTCTTGTTAAACCACCACGCATTGAGTTCTATATTGGAAAGTTTTGATGAATTTATTTTGATGACTACTAAATCTTACTAGTATTTTAAAAATAAAACATACCTCTAACATATTCAGTAGCATTTTTTAATTTATGTGTATTTTACTCTTATTCTCGATAATTTCTCAACTGTAAATAGAAAATTGGATTATAACACCGAGAGTTACATATCTTAATTATTTAGAACATAAATATAGTAGAGAAGTAGAACTCCACTACATTATTACATTTTTATGTGCATTTGCAACTTATGCACGGATAGCGTTTTAGTTCTCAAGCTCAATTGGCTTACGGCTCAGCCACATCTACGGCCTCCCCCTTATAAGAGCAGCACCTTATGCACTGCCCGTTACTATGGGCGCCACCGCAGCACCCGTAATTTCCGCAACTTCCACCATGACCAGGCGGGTGACCATGTCCATGACCACCATGTCCAGAACCGCCATGTCCGCCACCGTGTCCATGCCCGCCGCCGCCGTGTCCATGCCCGCCGTGACCATAGCCATTAGCTAATCAAATTTGAGAAACACAAAGTTGCACATGTAAAATGATGTTGGGTTTATAGAAAATAGGAAAATGTGCAAATAGACCCATGTACTAACAAAAAAGGTCAAATAAGCCCTTATTTAGGAGGCTCTGTCCGGCCGTCGTCATTTGGGGTGGTTCCCGGTTGAATTTTTTGATGAAATTTTTTGAGCATCTTATTCATCAAGTCTAGTTTACTCATACCAAATTTCAGCTAAAACTTCAATCGGGAAGGCATTCAAATGAATTCTTGAAGATAACTGTGCTTCTAACTGCGCAGTTATTTTCAACAATTCATTTGAATGTCTTCCCGATTGAAGTTTTAGCTGAAATTTGGTATGAGTAAACTAGACTTAATGAATAAGATTCTCAAAAAATTTCATCAAAAAATTCCAGCGGGAACCACTTCAAATGGCGACGGCCGGACAGAGCCTCCTAAATAAGGGCTTATTTGACATTTTTTGGTTAGTACATGAGCCTATTTACACCTTTTCCCTAGAAAATATTCAAAATATAAGTGAAATAACACATTTTTTCTGAGGTATTACTCTCAGTCCCGCAAAAATTGTTTCATTTTTTTCTTTTTGAGAAATCTCAAGCTAGGCTACGCGAGTCCTATTTTGAAACAAACCTAACTAATTAACTTGAGAAAAGCTATGAGCAGACACATACTCATACCTAGCCACCTAGGGCGAGACCCTGAGAGTAGATTTGAAACCTCAACTTAGATACACTCATCTCGTCATAATTTCGAGAAAAATTCTTGTTGTATATAGAATTAGCTTAATACACAACAACTTGTACACAATTCTCTAGTTACCTGTATACACAAATAATTCGTTTGAAAAGGGGTAGGATTTTATACAAAAATGTTTGTGTACAAAGGCAGTCTTCACCAAGATTTACTCTAATTTCAAAGAACTTTGTTCAAATTTCCCTTCAACGGTCCCAAAAAATTGTGGTTAACGGCATTTCCTACACATTTCTTCTCATCATCTCCATCTACATAACTATTCACCGTACAATTCTCGCTTTATGAAAGGAGTAAGAAGAAATTTGATTGAATATGCAATAATGAAACATAAAATATCAAAATGGGAGTGTGCATGCATGGATCGGAGTTGAACAAAAGAAATTGTTTGATAAATACACTTACTGGCCAAGTAAGCACCGTTGTCGTGGCTAGTCTCGGCCAGTTCTCTGGCCGAGACTTCGAGGCCGATCACGAGGAAAACGGCCAAAGCAACGGCGAGGAAAAGAAACACCGCCTTTGAACTCATCTTTAATTTCAAAGCCCAGGGTATAGTAGCAGTAGGTGATGGTAGGTTGAAAGATGAAGATGACTGATGAATTTAGGTGCCCATTTATAGCTAGGAGTTCACATGAGACCATTTGTAGTGGTTGGGAGTCCAAATTGTTAAATTTGGACTCCGTCCATATGAAAACAGTGTTTTGACTCCGTCAATACTGTTTTTCTCTGCATTCGTGCACCGTCAATAAAATACACTCAACATATTTTTTTACATATCAATTTAGTAAAACATTAATTAATTTATTATAAGAAATGTTTTCCGTTTAATATTTTCCCTAAATAATTGTGAAATAAAAAATACACATTTCGACATAAAAATAAATAAATTTCATTAATTTTTTTTTAATGTTTTCGGTTAACAAAAATGAACTTAGTTCAAGTAAAGTTCGATTATAAAATATTCAGTTATTTGTAAAGATTCCATGAATTAAAAATTTGTGTTTCATCGTTTTGTAAACGGAAGAAAACTTCAACAGTTAACATTTAAGAATTTTTGTTTCATTTTATATATTACATATTGGTGTCATATGAAAGATCATAAAATTTTATGAATTTTGATATATATTTTGAAAAATTTGGAGAAAAAATAAAAAAGTTACAAGAGTTTAAAACAATTTGGGGTTATAATGATGTCACCATGATGTCAGCGAAAACATGATTTGGCTGTCAACCCCTCCCTCTATATTTACACTCTTCCACTCCCCTTTCCACTTTTACTCCCCCTTTTAATCCTCCACTACACACAAATAAGAATCTAAAATCTCCATTTTTAATCTTTTGACTCCTAATCCCCAACCACTACAAATGGTCTGAGTGAGTGGAGAGTGAGCTCAATAATGGCGTTTGGAGTTTGTTGACCCATCCATCCGAGAACCGTACGTACTGTTTTTGCTTGTTGGTGGTTGAGTTTCTACATGTTTTTGTCCCGACAATGAATGGTGCATTTATATTCTGACACGATCGAAAATCCCATTAATGATCTGTAATAAATTAAAAACCTTGCTTAAAAACAGGCAGATATGACACGCATATTTATCCATTCGGTCACTCACGGAAGAAGTATGAACCGACCATGTGATATGCATTTGGGCGTTTGGCCCATTCGATATCATAGTCTTGGCCCGCTTACGTGCGTCTGCCTACGTAACATTTTCGAGTCTAATTTGGTCTGGTTTGATCTGAATTAGTCTAGTCTAGTATGTTGAAATCTGATCTGACTAGAGATTGAAATAAGTTCAAATAAAAATATTCTCAATACTCACTACTCCATCAGATCTGCTCGTCAATATCAACTCTTAGTTTTATAAATTTAATTTCATTAGTGATGGACATCATTTTTACCTGCTAAAAAATAGATATCATTTTTATGATATGATGAATTAATCTATCTTAAGATGTGAACATTGTTAAAGTGATGAAAATCTAAGATTATGATATATACATTCGATCGTGATGGTATATACTTGTATATGATTGTAAGCTTGTTTTTGGAGGGGGTTTGGCGCATGATTAATTATAACAGGAGGTTGACGTATTTTTTAAATGATATGGGGCTAACGCGCAGAGGCGGATCTATTGAGGAAGGATGGGGGCAGCTGCCCCCAACACAATCCCACTAAATCCATATAATGTGTTAGAATATATTGGAAATCCATGTATTGCCCCCAATAAAAAATAATCATCGTTGCCCCCAATAAAGCAGACTCTAAGCTAGCCGAAAGTTTGGTTGGTTTATGGGAAGCTCATCTAAAATGATAAAATCTGTAATTAAGATGTCAAAACCGTGCTGAGGTAGCAAGAGTAACGAATGTGATGCTAATTTATTATTAGTGGGATTATAAATGTATAGTGAGATTCAATATATTAAGATTATTAATTTGTTTATTGTAACCGTTTATTGTTATGTTTTTGAAAATCTAAAGTTCCAATCACTGCCATAGTTGTTTATTGTTTATTTTTAAGTGTTAGTGGTTAGTGGAAGAGTCTTGCTAAGAAAATTAATATTATTAGAAAAATGTCATTTAGATAGTCAACTATAAAAAACCTAAATAATATGTTCTTTTAAATACTCCGTAGTTAAATTAGAGCTCGTTTATTGACCATATTTTCCGGCTTATCAAGCTTATCAGTCAAACTTTTTCTCCAAATACGTAACTTTTGATTTCGCGCGCTGAATTATTTAATAATAAGAAAAAGTAAGGTTGGAGTTACTTTTCTGGCTGTATTGACTGCATTTACTGTAGATGACCACTTTAGCTATTTTTCATGCATTTTTTTCTCTATGTGATTGATAAAATATAATTTCATTTTCCCCTACATAAATCGGCAGAATCAGTCAATCTAATCACTTTAGCTTTAACTTCATGAATTTCAATAGAATCAACTGATTCGGCCGATTTTAATGTTACCAAACGAGCTCTAAATGTATTAATGTATAACTAACTTCATGCAGAGTATATAATAATAATAGTGATAATAATGTAATATTAATTTCACTTTCGAGACTTAATGAAGAGATATTTAATTATCTATCTTTCATTAAAACCGGGTAGCTCAAATAGTAATGTCTCTATAAGCGCTTGTCATGGGAACCGTAGAGATTTGCTTCTCCACTATGAAAAAGATGAAAACTAATTTGTGTAGTAGAATTGATGATAAATTTGTTTTTTTTGTGATGGTCTGTTTTTATTGAAAAATGCGATAGTATATATGGATTATATGTTTAAAACTGTTATCCAAGAAAACAAAATCCTGCAAGAACAATTGTGATGTATTTTGTTAATACTACTAATTTTTGTTCCTCTAAACTTTCTTAACTACTTTGCCCCCAATAACTATTTTTCCTAGATCCGCCACTGCTAACGCGCCAAATTTATATTTCACGAGGAGGTTTGATGCATTAAACCCTAAGTTTTAGGGTACTAGTAAATTTATAAAAGGACTAGTAAATTTAACGTACTTTTAGGTGCTATTTCTTTGGCCAAAACAGGGCCGGTCCTGACATTTTATGGGCCCAGGGCGAATGAAAAAATAAGGCCCTTAAAAGATCATATAAATATATTGCAAAATCTTAACTTTATATAAGCAAATTTCAACATACAAAGTAATGTAAGTCTTTTATCAAAGTCTTAATATATACGTAGTATAAACTAAAAAAATAAAAAGTATTTAAAAAAATAAAAAATAAAACTAGAGAATTACTTGTTAAATTGGAATTTCATATTTGGAAGATATTTTTGAGAAAATTAGGAGAGTGTTGATTGCTGAGCGAAATGAATTAAAGTCCAAAGATGAAACCTTGAAATTAGGCCGGCCTAACGGGAACTGATGTCCGACCGAGGCCATTTGAGGCCCTTCCCGATAGAACTTTTTCATGAAAAAATTTAAACATATTCTTCATGAAATCTATATAATATCTCCACAAGATTTCAGATTAAAATTCAATCTGAAAGTCAGTTAAATAAATTATTGAAAGATAGTGTGCAGTATGTTTCAATATTTATTTAACTGACTTCCCGGTTGAATTTTAAACTGAAATTTTGTGAATGTAATCTACATTTGATGAAAAATTAAATACTCTAAAAAAGTTTCATAAAAAATTCCTCCATAAAGGGGACCAAATGACCTCAGGCTGGTATGAAATGTCCTCTCTATATGTATCCATATATACTCCTTATATAATTATGGGCCCTTGTAAATGTTGGGCCCGGGGCACAAGCCCGGCCTGCCCTTGCCCAGGGCCGGCCCTGCCGCCAAAAAATTCAAGAATAGTTCAAGAAACAAAAATGAACCTCGTATTTACATTTTACAATACACATCGAACAATTTGATTCCTCATTCTCAAATCTTTTCATAGGCCACAATTCAGATTGTGATCGCAAATTATACAGTGCAACCAGCGTACCATGCGCATGGTATGCCGGTTGCTAATACGGTACCGTTTTTTGCTTTTCTCATGCTTCCGAAAGTTCAAAGCCCAAATTACGGAAGTCTTCTTTCTCCCAGGTAAGTACTTCCTTTCTCTTTGTTGTTCTTTTCTATTTTCTTTAATTCTTTTCTCTTTAACATTAAATACTAAAAATTTATTTGTGATTTTACTCATCTTTATCTTTAACTAATTAAAATATAAATGAATTTACATTTTTTCTTTACCAAATTATTACAAAATTTTATTAATCCACATAAAATAAGTGTATTGTAATACATTTTATATTTTATTAATCCACATAAAAAGCATATTTTATTAATTCACATAATAATTGAATCTATTCTTTTTATTCTCTATCAATGCATAACAAAAAGTTTATAAATCTAAATAAAATAAGTATATTCTATGATTCAGCTCCTGGACAATGAAATCACATCTTCTTTTGCGCAAGTTACATATTAATGTACGCGAGTTACATCTAAATATACGTGAGTTACATCTTAATGTATGCGAGTTACACCACTTAATAAACTCTAGCTATATCATTTTTATTGCCCTAATATTAAAAATAAAACATATTCATTATTTATAAAAAGTAATTAAGCTATTAGGATCAATTTTTCATTGTTTACATTGAAATCAATGTTTATAATATCTCAAACACAAAAAAATCATTGTTCAACCTTTCAACAAGTTACATTCTGTATACACACAAGTTACATTTGGAATCAACGTGAGTTACATTTGTAATAACACGAGTTACTTCAAAAAATCAACCCCTGCTATTGAAACAAAAAAATGATATGTTCTAAAAAAAATATTTTTTATAGTCATGATATTAAAAACAAAACATATATATTCACGTTTTACCTAAAACAATTGTGTAATTAGACTCTCTTTTTTCATTATTTACATTGAAATCGATATTTGACAAGTTACATTTTGGATGGGCTTGAGTTACATTGATCAATAACGTGAGTTACATATCTTTACACGCGAGTTACACTATCTAAGTTACTGAGACAAAAAAAAAAGTCACTGTTCACGCGTGTATTGTTCACGCGATTTTTTTTTATTAATTGTCCAAAACTACATCGTTTTGGGAGTGAGAGTAGGGTGCTCA